GTACCTATTTGGATCATATTACATAATTAAGATTTAAAATAAACATTTAATTCAAGCATACCAACAAGAGCCACACGTTGATCTTATCAGTGAATATAAATTTAAAAAAGAAATGTATTAGAAAAACTGTTTTACAAGTTGATGTTAGTCTCTTTCCATGCGTTTTTATTTTTGTTAAAGTCCTAAATCCATACAAACTATTTATGGAAGTTAAAAGATTAAATGGAATATGTAGGATATTTCGTACAGGTTGAATAATTGTATGATGTTATAAAATAAAAAAAGAGATAGAAAAAATCAAAACTAGAAAATTGTGTGAACACGAAACACTATAGTATCTTTTTCTTCACAATTTTTCTTTTATTGTATAGCTTTTGAAAATAAATCGATAAGACATGAAACATCATTTTCTTGAAGATTAACAGAGTACTAGACTTGCAATCTGTAGACATGTGGTCTTACTGAAAATAACTAATAAGCAAAGAATTATAGGGTTTTTTATGCTAATCATTGTGAAATTGTTTTCTCACATCATAAAGCACCAGTGTTGTCACTATAGTTCTCTCACACTTGGTCCAACTGGCTAAAAAAGTAACTACAAATTTGTGAAAAATTTTTTCCACTGATGTATTTATTTGCTCTCGTTTATATGCTTTTATTGTGGAACTTTAACTTTTTTCAATGTCATAAGTTGATTGAAAAACCTCTGATAATTCGAATGAACTGTCCTAAAATATATTTTCATCCTACTGGAAGAATTTTGTGATAGAGCTCAATGAAAATGAAAAAATGGTTAAGGAAAGTTTTAATTCTTGCAGTTTTGTTCGTATGGAGAACTGAAAATAATGAAAAAAGAGCGACGAAACAGTTGAGAAAACGTGAAAACTTCAATATCATCTGCTTGTGAATGTTTATATCCTTGATAATAATTATTATCATCGTGTTATAATTGTTGATTTTTATTAATTTGTTTTTGATTTGTTGATATTGAATTGTTTGGTCGAAAATTAAGTAATTAAATACTATCTTCAAAAGAACATTCTCAAACATCAAATATTCGTCCTTTGACTTTTATTGTTAAAAAATCAAAAAATACTGACGAAATAAATTCTTTTCTATGTCAAAAATTTTATCACACTAAACGTTCGAATAACTTGTAATAGAGAATAAGCTTCAAGCATATCACGAAGTAATATATTTTGCTCACAGTAGAAGTATAAGTACAAACTTTTGTGTCACTTGTAGCCAAATTGTCTCTATTGCTTTAAGCAAACAATTTCATACTTACTGTAAACTAATCGTCTAAAATATTTAAAAGGCGATGATGATTTATAGTAAAAAGCGTACTTTTAGATTTCATATTTTTCTAGCAATTGTTGTCAAAAATCTGAGTTCATCAGTCGATCGAGCTCGTCGAGTTACATCTGTCTCACAGTATTGTTGAAGTGGCTCAGTAAATGGAGTGAATCACTTTTAAAAAAAACTTACATTGACTGCTAACTTTCCTTACATAATTGTGAAGTCCTAATACTTTTTAAATCCTGCATGACGATGAGAAAAAAACTAAGCGAAATCGTTGTATAGTGCATATTTTTTCCAATCTTTGATTCACTCTCTCTTTCCGTTCTTTAAGCTGTTCGATAGATGAGTAATAGAATAAGCAAAATAAAGGTAATGTTTTTATGTGAAAAAACCCAAGGAATCTCAATAATATATGATCACGCGTTATTTTATGTCAACGGATGAATGCGCGCAAGCCAAACTTATTTAGTGATGTATATATAAGCAACAGAATGCTTTTATCTTTTGCATAAAACAAACATCGATACATTACAGTGTTATTCTTGTCGTCAGCACACAATATTTCATACGAATACAGTGAGTAAACGTAAGTCATTTGAAATTATATTCTCCTCAGAAGGCGTTTTTCATCATCAGTATCTAGCAGATCTTTCTATTCTTAAATAGTACCGCTAAGCTTGTATAGTATTTTTTTCGCATCATAATAACTATTTTCCTGCTGACGAAAATGCTCCGAAGTTCTGTATAAAATAAATAGGAGATATTCATAACTATATAGCCATATTTCTCATGAAGCGTTTGTAGTAAGAATCGTTAATACATTTTGTGAGTTCCAACGTAGCAAAAAAACTATTTTAGAATTGTATTCTTTTACCATTCGAAAAGATTTGACCTCACTGAAAATTAAAGATGATGTTGGATAGAAAATAAGTACTTCAGGAAATTTTCGTAGAAGGATTCCTCTTCAATTGGATTTTGGCGAAGAATATGTTTATGATATTGTCTTCAGAGAGAATAGTTTTAATTTCATAATGGCTCTTTTTGTGATGTTAACAAAATTCGAGCCGGTAGGTCTTGGAAAAATCGTGTTCTTCCTAAAATGCCTCTGTGGTTAGAATTATTTAGAAAATTTTCAAGTCATAATGATGAAGTGGGATAATGGAGTTACTTGGTGCTTGTGTTATCCAAAATCCTAGGATAAAGATAAAAATCATAAGAGATTCTTCAAAAAAAGAAAATGAGCACACAGATCTAAAAAACGGATGATTTCATTGAAATACCTCTAACTCTGAAATTTTGCTATGTATTTTTCGATCACAGCGAACGATTATAAAAGTAAATCAGTTTAGTTTTCCTGTGGTTCCATAGTATACTCATAGTAATAGAAAATAATGCTACCCAAGCATAAATGACTTCCTAGCTTTTTGCTTGATATCTCTTTAGGTTTTTATGATGTCAAACCATAGAAACAAATTAAAAACATATTTTCGTTGAGCTTTGAAAGCTGTACTCTGTGAGTATGCATCAGAACTCTTCGATCAAAAGTCTATAGAGTTAAATAAATGACTGTTTGCATGAATTTTCGAAAATATCCCTCTTCTTCATCATATTTTGCTAGTTGTTGGAAAAATATGGGCAACTTGTCATACAAATCTGCGTCGACTATTTGTGTAGGACTTTGTAGAGAATTGAATGCTGAAAGTTTTTGGAAAAAATCCGCTCCGAAACAATGAAAAATGACAGAAATGTGTAACAAGAGGCACATTTTCATGTCCATTTATTTTAAATTCAAATTTTCATACAAAACAAATTTAAGTTTTTAATAATATATTGCTAGAGTTAATAAATTGTTTAAATGTAAATTGATCATCCCTAATGTGTAAGCATCAAATGTGGGTCATGAAGAGTTCCAACGTAAATGCATATATATAAATGGACAGAATGAAGAAAAATAGATTTTTCTTGGGATTCAAACCACAGATCTTCTGTTATCCCGACATATATCTTAAGCCCGTTAGACGGGAACGAACAATTTAATCTCTGTTCAGCTTTGGAATGTGTCATTATCGACGCTAACAATATGAGGGATATAAGGAGAACTCATTTATTTTGACTCACCTGTTAATTTGAGAATGTGTGTGAAAAGACAAATCGGCCAGGAAATCTTCAAAGTGGGTGTGGGTGTGGGTGTGAGTGTAGCTGTGGCTGTGGCAGGAGTGTTATGTGGAGTTTCTCTGCATCGTCACACGCAAACCTACACTGACACCTGATGGAAACCTTTTGAGGTACAGTAAATTACTATGAGACTTTTGAAGTTTCGTGAGGTGCCTTTTTTCAGTGTGTGGTGATGAATGTGTTTGTAGATACTAATCCTATCTTATGGCACAGTGAAACCGATACCTACCTGCATATCCACACCAAAACTGCACCTCTTTTTGTTGTTCGTACCGAAAGTTATTTATATATTATCCACCGGTTTCTTTTTTCAAATGTACATTTGTTGAACCCATTCCTAGAAGAATGAAAAGTCATTAAAAATAAAATTAAAGCCGATTCCTTGCGTAGATTATCTCGTCATTTTATTGACACTCATTAAGAAGCATGTTCGGATAGAACGAAAATAAAATTTATCGCTGACAAAGGAAAAAAGACATTAAGTTTTAATATCTTTATCAGTCGGTTTTTTTCTACAGATACTTATGCAAACAGAAACCATGTTTGTTTAATAGATAAAGCCTAAAAGTAGTTGCGAAAAAAAACAAGAAGAGATAACGGCGCAATTCCAGCAGTAAGAATTTTATCCATCTGAATTTCGCCAACGAGAACGGTTGTGGCAATGGTGGTGGCTGATATATTATATAGTATAGTTTTGATGAATTGAAAAATCACAATAATATATAAGATTTTAAGGCTTATACTAATAATGTATTCTTTTGTCGCAAATTATCATGGAAGCCTATTGAAAACTTAAGTTTTTGTTTCCTCTTCTAAGAATTCCACTTCTCATCTCTAAGTTTCTTAAAAATAACTTTGATTTAGCCGATGATATCTACTGTTTTTTTTTCGTACTTCGAATCAAACATTATATTTTCGTATTAAATATTTATAAAAATTGATAACTTAAAGTGGACCTTGTAAAATAAATCGGCTTGTTGCCTATAATACAAGATCATAGCGGAGACAGGTGATAG